TATTCCAGAAAGGAGGTTCAACAAACTCTGAGTTAAAACTTGAACTCTGAGTTGACTTACCCTGAGACGGGAAACTCTGAGTTTTCAGTTTCAGAACAGCTGAACAGAGTTAGTTCAATCCAGTCTGAGAATGTTGACTCTGAGTTTAGCGTGTGCACCACGACTATGAAAAGCCATGATCAATGGAGCTCCGAAATTATGATTCATCATTGCAACAGCATACTACGCAATACGTAACTTTAATTCTTGATCACTGTTGTAATATCAGAGGTGAAAACTGGCAGAAGTTATTGAGCTAATCTTCGTTTTCATGGTAGGCTATCCCACAGGTAAAAAAAACAAACAAACATGGCCGCAGAAAAAAATAAACAAAAACATAATTCAATCAGGTAAAGCTTCAAGTGTAAAAGGTTCATGGGTGTAGACACGACTTTACAAAAAAAAAAGAAATTGGGAGTAAGTGCAGAGGCGGTGTGTGCACTGCTGTGTGAACATGATGTTACTGTAGTTCTAGACTAAATGTCAACATGCATTTACTCATCTCACCTGCATAAAAACAGATTCAGTATTCCTCAAAATGAATAAAAACAGTCAAATGCAAACTCAGAATATTATACAAAACTGCAATAATGAAATGTTAAATAAGACAAATATAATGTATGTATTTAATCCCAATTTATTAACCAATGATCCAATTCAACTATTGATGATCCAATTCAACCATACTAATAAGCGAAAATTACACATTTGTGTTTCATTTTTGTTATTGCTGAAGACTGTAGAACTTTCTTCTCCTGTGTCATATTCTTTATGCAATTTGTTTGAGCTGCGCCCTCTACTGTACAGACATGAATTTACATTTCCTTCAGCTTGGGCCGTATTCATTTCACTTTTGGTGTGAAAGGGATTTTACATTTGTAATAGAATAACTTTTTATATTAAAAACAAACAAGCAAGCCCTGCCCAGATTTTAAAAAGTAACTCAAAAGTAACGTAACATACATTACTTTCCATAAAAAGTAACTAAGTAGTATAATTAGTTACTTTTTTGGGAGTAACGCAATATTGTAATGCATTACTTTTAAAAGTAACTTTCCCCAACACTGGTTGCTGCTTCAACTCAACTTAAGGCTGGAATACACTACACGTCTTTTTGCCCTGATTTACAGTCTAGACAAGTTGATGCTATTTGCTGATAGTTAGAGCCAGTCTGCAGGTCTGAATTGAGAGATTTCACAGTAAAAACTAAAAAGCATTGTGTATGATGGTCATATATTCAGATTTCTTAGATCCATTCTATGATACTGCCCTGAAGATATCAAAAATGTCTTTATATCTTGAGCCCATTTCATCTTATAGCCTTTAATCTACATTCACAGCAACAAACCATGATGTACTTTTTGCCAGTTAGCTGCAGGCAAGAATATCTATATAATACCTGGAGAAAGTTATCTGTTAGTATTCGCACTCATCTCAATAGCACTTACACTGCTGGTGCAGGACACCCAAGAAATATGTGACTGGGTTGCTCTGTTCTGCCGCCAGAATGTTTTGGGCCAATTCGCTTGAGCAGTAAATTTCATGTGAATAAAGGTGCCATTGCTTTGCAAAATTTCATGGGCAAAATCCAGTCAAAAAGTTTTCCGGTAAGGACAAAAGAGCTCCTCACGCTGATTTTGCTCATGGTCAAGTTGGTCACGCAAATTTACCACACCGACCAACAGAAAGCTGCTTGAGTTTAAAGTGTAGAGTAGTGCTTCATACATCTCTACACTATTGACAATGAACAACAGACCTGTTCTTGCACTCAAAATTTCGCTACTGTGACCTCAATTTAATGTTGCAGAAAATTTTTTTTTTTTTTTCAACAATATTTTTGTGGCATTGAAAGGCTTTTCAGAAAGACACCCTACACCCATCCAGAGCTGGGTAGTAACTGATTACATGTATCTGGATTACATAATCAGATTCCAAAAGTACTTGTAACTATTTTAAATTACATTTTAAAATACTCGTAATCAGACTACAGTTACTCTTTTATTGATTACATGATTACATATTATTCACACAATAGCATTAATTCTTCATAATTTATTGATTCTCCCTACTTCGTCTTTTTCATCTTTTCAATTTTCCTTTCTAAAATAGCCTACCGCTTATATACACTCAGAAAGTCCTCTAGTTTTGCAGACATTCACACAAAGAACAGTCTCTAGATATAATTACACAGAGAATTGAGAGGCCACATAGCATTTGACCACACTGGATTTACAAAAATAATTTCAGTTTTAAGAAGTGTTTTCTAAGCGTTTCAACATTACATAAACTACTGCTGAACATGGATAGGGTTATTTAATCATGTATTACTTTGTCTTTGGAAGGCTTTTGTCTTTCAAACACATTAAAATGCACAAATTCACATTATTTCATATTTACTTGCAATGCGAGGATTCCCAAACTTTTTGTCAGCCAAACCTCTTTCACCGAATATATTTACTTGAAGTACCCCTGATATTTTAAAATAAATATTTGTGGTTTGTGTTCTTGATTGATGTTATTTTAAAATTATTTATTTATTTTATTTTTTACATTTTTATGATTTAATTAATGATTAGCTTTTCTTTAAACTCACAAACCCCCAGCAGTTCCTTTACGAACCCCATGGGAAACCTTGACATTCATGTCAAAAAACAACACATGGAATATATTTTCTTTTTCTATGCATTTTTATATCAATATGGTACAAGGCTAAAAGTAATCTGATTACCAAAAATGTGTAATGTAATGGATTACGTCACTAACTACAATGTTTGTCATGTAATTTGGAATCAGTAACAGATTACAATTTGTGAGTAATCTACTCAGCTCTGCACCCAAGTCTATTTCATGTTTTAAGTGCCCTCTAACACATGTGGGCAATGGACCGGGTTGATCTACTGTAGTACAGGATATGGGCAACATTTTTGTGATACATTTTGTTGGTGTTAAAACAGTGAATTTTGTCAATGTTTAGAAGTACACTAGCACAATGCACTAACCATGTTAGACATAAAAATGATCCCCCAAATGTTCATTTAGTAACAGGTAACTCTAGATAGGGGAGCGCGGGGCACAAAGTAACGCGGGGTTAGTTGTAACACACGTGGTTTTAATATTTCCACACATGCTAGCATAACAAAATTGATGGTATTTACTAGTTACCATTTCAACACTATATAGAGAAAAAAGTGTGCCAAAAAAGATATCTCTGAACATTTATTTTACCATAGTAAAAGTACATTTCTGGCTTAAGTAAATTTTTCATCTCAGTTTTTAGTATTCATTTAAAATGAGGCAAATCTGCTATTATTTTAATCTCCAATCTGTTATTTATCAGTTTAGATGTTTTTTTTAATCCTACGCTAACTAGCGGAAGACACTAACCAGTTTTAAATTCCAATTCCAACGTTACAATGTGCTATTCTATGACAATGTAATTTTACACTAATTACTTTAATGAATTTGAATGAGAAACCACGAGGAACAGGTGAATAAAGACTGACAGTCAATGTTTAACGTTCAGAAGTTATTATTTCAAGACATGTAAAGCATTTTGGCTCGTTTATGTGGGCCGTCCCGAGCATGGTTGCAATGTGTTCATTGTCAAACTCCAAAATCAGATTCTTTTTCATTCTTAAAAAACACCATTATTTTATTTGAAAAAGTTAATAATTTTATTTGATTGACAAAATGTTTTAGTTTATCTTGTATATCTTTTTTCATTCGATCAGATAACATTTTAAGCTGTCATATGCAGTGTTGGGGAAAGCTACTTTTAAAAGTAATGCGTTACAATATCGCGTTACTCCATAAAAAAAGTTACTAATTACGTTACTTAGTTACTTTTTATGGAAATTAATGCGTTACGTTACTTTGTAAATCTGGACAGGGCTTGCTTGCTTGTTTTTAAAATAAAAAAGTTCTATTTTTGGCAAATATATAAAAGCCTTTTCACACCAAAAGTGAAATGAATCAGCCTCAGGCTGAAGGGAAAGTACATTTACATCCGTACAGTAGAATGCAGAAGAAGACATTTCAACACACTTCAGCAATAAACAAAGACACTAATGTTTGTCTAGAGTCATTTGTGCTTATTAGTATGGTTGAACTGGATCATCGAAGGTCAGAAGCAAAGACATTGGTTAATAGAATGCGATTAAATACATAAAGCATATTTGTGTTGTTTAACATTTAATTATTGCAGGTTTGCGTCTATTTTTATCCATTTTGAGGAATACTGAATCTCTGTTTTTTTTTTTGTGATTTAGATTAATTAATGCATATTCATATTTATTTTAGAACTACAGTAACATCTGATTTCTCTCAACATGGCGACAGGAGAGCCGTCAGTCAATAAATTGGAAAAAAAAGTAACTTGTTACTCATTTGAAAAAGTAACTCAGATATTCTCTTGTAAATTAAAAAGTAATGCGTTACTTTACTAGTTACTTGAAAAAAGTAATCTGATTACGTAACTCGCGTTACTTGTAATGCGTTACCCCCAACACTGGTCATATGGTCAAGTTACAACGTGCCCCTCAGATGTTACAATGTACCCCACCGACGGGGCATGTTGTCACATTTCACTTCCATTTTTTGAGGGTAAATAAAGAAAAAATTATAAAACAATGCGATGCATTTGTACTAGACGAGTGTAAAATTACTAGGATACTGTGGATAAAAAAAAGTATACTCCGAACCCCATGTGGATTTACACAACTTGAGAAAGTCCAAAAGTGTTACATTGTGCCCCGCTCTCCCCTACAACTCAATTTTCAAAATATGCACTCATTCAGTCTTACGCCTAATATGCAGAAAACTAGTTACATTTGAATTTGTAATCTCATATTCATTATCTTTAGAATAACAAACCACTGAGGGCCCACTGTCTGGTTGAAAACAGAGCGAGAGAAAAAAAGAACTCAATTTCCCAGCATCCCCCATCTAAGCCCAACCCACCCCTGAGTTGTGACTGAAGGAGTTTGATGGTCACAGCGGTGGATATGCGACATAAAGCCACAGCAGCGCTCCGCACTCTTCCAGGTTTAGAGAAACATTTGCACACGCGTTTTGCGACGTGCGTAAATAACGGAACTGCTTTCTGACCAACAACAAACGCACTTAGGCTAAATCCATCGATGCTAACTGCACGCGGCTCACCGTGTTCTTAGCGTTAGTGAACTAATCCAGCTGCAGTGCATTTAATGTTGAACTATTTTTGTAGTCGTCAGAAAATGTAGTTTAAAACGCTCCAGATGTCATTTGGTCTGTGAGCATGGATGTGACGCAAGTGCAACAGTAACGTTACCTATTTTGATGCGCATTTAGTGTCACAAGCTGACGGTCTGTCTCGCCTTTCGTCTGCGACCTATTTGAATGGTGCCGTCACGCCGTTAATCTTTAATTTCCGCGCACTGCTGTGAGCAAAAACATCCAGTCGCGCCGAAGCAGCGGGGTTAGAAGAAGTTCCCCATCTAAACTCACCCCTCTGGCTCTACTGCTCAAATGGGGTCTAATGGAGACCTCGACGCACACTCGCAGTGTCTCAGCAGCACTGGGGACCTGGTCCTGGACAAAGCAGTCCATCAGTGGATGGCCTGGGATAAGGTGAGGATGTAACCGGTTTTAAACATGTGTGACCATGTTGGCAACCCTTGCCATCGTCAGTGGCTTTATAAAGTGTTTTCATATTGTTCATATGTTGTTTGTCTTTAGCAGACTGTGCTCGTGCATTTTTAAATACAGCATCTGTTGAGAAACTAAATACACTTGTGTTAATGTTGTCATGATGACTATAAAGTGCTATAACATTGCAAACCACATTGCATTTGACTGCATTGCAGTGCCAACTTGAGTCATTCAGATGTTTTGGCTGTGGTGGTGCAGTGACCATGATACCATTGTAATTTGATATGCACCATAGTAGTACCACAGTATTCCTGGAGGTGCCCAGGTAAATACCGTGGCCCATGGATTTTAGTATCATGAAATATATGAAAGTAACAAGGTAAATGCATCGGATTCCATTGCCGTACCCCAGTACTCTTTCCTAATGGATGGTCCTACCATGGTACACATCTATAAAAGCCATGGTATTTCCACGCTTACTAAAAGTACTGGTTTAGCTCGTACAGGACATGGCACAGCAATGCTATTAGATTTACAGCACTAAAGATGATGTACCAGGGTATGCCATCACCATGTTTTTGCTATGTCTAAAAGGCTATGTCACATTGTTTGTAGCTCTTTTTCAGTTTTTGTTGCACAGGCAAATTTAATAGTCATATGTCTTGCTGACCTCATCTTGCAAATGTCAGACTCCACCAGCACTGCATGACTGTGTATAGAAGTACACTAGAGCAAGCAGCTGGCAGTTGTATTAAAAAAAAAAAAAAACATTAGCTCAGCAAAAATAGACGGAAAGTGGCATTTCCCTTCATGGAATGTTTAAGTGGTAGGCCTGCTTTTACTGATTATGTACTTTTAATGCTATTTAAACATTCTTGTGTTCACATGTTTAGCTGGCTTAGCTAGCTTATATGTTTGGATTAATCGGAAGTGCAGCGATAAGCTTTCAGCAACGGGAAAAAAGGAATTATTAATTTTCCATCCTGATTGTTTAAAAAAAAAATAATCCATGATTAGATGCATTACAGCTGACTCATTGCTGAACCTGGCACACTAAAGCAAATGCTGGGAAGAGTGTCTGGCGCTGCCCTCTTTTTTCACTTTTTAGAAACATTATTGATTTTTGATCTGATCAATAACTTACCATTTGCAATGGTCTGCGGTGTCCCAGAATCACGGTTGTCCTTAAAAATCCCTCTAAATTAGACTTCTGTACTTGACTGTTATGTGTGGGTTTGTTAGGGCTGTTTACGGTGGCCGAGAAGTGCAAAACAAATCACAATTCTGAAAACAAAATAACAAATTACAAACGCAAATGCAGGTCTAAAAAACAAAATAACAATTCAGAAAACACAACAACAATTCAGAAAACATTATAACAAGTCAGAAAACACAACGACAAATCAGACAAACCGGAAGAGGTAGGTATAGTTTGAGACAGCGCCATTGGTTTGGGATTACTCACCGCTGACTGGACGAGACATCTGTCAATCAACGTATACAGAGAAGAACCAGCCGAAGAACAGCAGAGTCGTGGTAGAAAGTTCGGAGATGGTATTAAAGTAGCTCAGTTTAAATGTATTGTATGAATTGCCCTTACTATGGATAAACAAAATATGGGGTGTATATTTACATTTAGTTCAAAGTGGTTGTAAAACATCAGCTCCAGCGGCGCCGATAGATAAGCGCGTGTCCTTGGCTTTTTGACGCGATCGACCTGGGTTCAGGTCGATCGCGTGAAAAAGCCAAGGACACGCGCTTATCCATCTGCGCCACTAGAGCTGATGATTCATAGCCACTTTTAACTAAATGTAAATATACACTTTTTTTATCCATAGTAAGGGCAATTCATACAATACATTTAAACTGAGCTACTTTAATACCATCTCCGAACTTTCTACCAGGACTCTGCTGTTCTTCGGCTGGTTCTTCTCTGTATACGTTGATTGGCAGATGTCTCGTCCAGTCAGCGGTGAGTAATCCCAAACCAATGGCGCTGTCTCAAACTATACCTACCTCTTCCGGTTTGTCTGATTTGTCGTTGTGTTTTCTGACTTGTTATAATGTTTTCTGAATTGTTGTTGTGTTTTCTGAATTGTTATTTTGTTTTTTAGACTTGCATTTGCATTTGTAATTTGTTATTTTGTTTTCAGAATTGTGATTTGTTTAGCACTTCACGGCCACCGTAGCTGTTGATTTGCGTGAATGAATGAAATGCCGATTAATTAGACAAATGATTGCATATCAGTATTTGCTGGAAAAAGTCCCCAAATGAAACCTGTTGGGACTCCAAATGAATAGGCTATAGACTTAGTGGTCATTTTATGCATGGGTTCAAGGATGTTATTTATTTTAAGTTTTTAAAAACATTATTTTTTCAAATGAAATATAAGTTGGCAACACTAGTTTTTGTCTCTTTAGAATCCTCAGACATGGAAGCAGATGGAGTCTCTGGTGCGAGAGGGGCGTGTGGTGGAGCTGAGGAGGAGGTTGTGCTCCAGGATGACATTTGGAACCGCTGGATTGAGAGCGGAGATGGGTGCGGGGTTTGCTTGCATCAATGACCTAACTGTCATCCAGTCTACACAGGTTGGTCCAGGTTAACAGTGTGCAGATGGAATCTTATTATTTGACCTTAAATATATTGGCCTGCTTCCACTTAGTGTGAGGTAAAACAACTATTTTAGCAATAAAAATTTCAGTGCAAAATACAGCCCATCTGACAGTACAGATATCCGTAATTCATTCATATAGTGATAGCAAGAATATATCGCAGTATAACGACAATGTCTCTTTAGTGTAGTCATGGAATTTCAGATTTTACTATTGAAATACTGTTTAACAAAGTATATATTTATATGTGTTTCTCCACGTTGATGAGCAGCAGATAATAAGTAATAATAGGTTATGTCTTCATTTTCCACAGTAGTTTATCATTAGCTGCGTTTACATACTAATCCGATCGTAATAGGACTAGAAGCACAATCAGATCATGTAAACACGTCAATCAGATTGAAGTGGCCAGATCCGACTAAAATTTCGATCGGATTGTAAGGGGTGGTTTATTCCTTTTGTAATCCGAGCGAGAGGACATGTAAACACTTGATCGGATTGAAAACCGAAACTGGAAAGTACTGCACATGCGCAGTGACATAGAAATAGTGTAATGACGTATGCCGCGCGGAACGAGCTGTTCTGCCTGGTGAATAAAGTATCATAAATGAGTGTCCTGTCATTATAAAACTCTCCTTTCACGCAGCGTCTGTGAAGTGGAGCAGCATGCACCAGTGAACGGTAACGCTCTCCACTCCGTTATATGAGCTGTCTTTATCCAAATACACCTTTACTGTGTTTATAATCTGACATATTTCATACATACATCAACAAACATTATCTTTTGATTGCAAGTTTGTTGCACATACAAGAGTTTCAGAACTAGAAAATGGCATATGTACCACCATGCCTAACCTATTTAGTAGGTGAACAATTTTATTCAGTTTTATCAGTTTTTAATTAAAGGTGTAGTTGCAAAACATGTAAATCTGTCTTGCTCTCCTACCCTGAAAACTGTATTTTTTTTTTGTTTTTCCCTGTGGATCACAAAAGGAGAAACAGGTTTTGAACAAAATGAGGCTGAGTAGTTGATACGTTTTAATTTGGGGGTAAACAAACACTTTTAAACTTACCTTGGGGGGGGGGGGGGGGGATCTAGTAGCAGACATCTCATGGTTGCACTTTGTTTTATGTACTTGCCCAGGAAAGTACTGGATAATATAATGCAACTACATGGGTTAGGGTAGGTTCGGGGTTAGTACCTAGTTGTTACCCAGTTATTGTATTGAATTACTGTAATTAGGGATGCAGCGATTAACTGGTTTCACAATTAACCGCGCTTTAAAACGTCACGGTTAAATAATCGTAAAAGTTCCGCTAAACCGAGTGTTTCTGTTACACGGAACGGAACTGTTGCAGCTTGCGCAAAACGAAAACAAAGTTACTCTAGCAGTGCACCAGCTTAAAATGACGTGCTTATCAGAGGCACGGAGGCTACTACATGCATTAGATGAACTGTGACAGAGGGACCAAACAGCAAAGCTTTATTTCCACCAGAGAAATGCCTGTCGATAGTGTGGGACCATTTTGGGTTCACCAAGAATAACCAGGGTGTCATTTAAATATTGCTGTAAAAAACTGCTGCTAAAGAGCGAATACATACGGGATTATGCACGGCTAGCTGTACATGTTGTAGGGAATGTACAAGTACTTAGCCAAATATGTCCCTGACCTGAAAAAAAGAGGGCTGGTGGTCGGGTTTGACACTCGTGCCCAAACGAGTAGTGGCTGCACCAGTGAACGGTAACGCTCTCCACTCCGTTATATGAGCTGTCTTTATTCAAATACACCTTTACTGTGTTTATAATCTGACATATTTCATACATACATCAACAAACATTATCTTTTGATTTGTACATGCAAGTTTGTTGCACATACAAGAGTTTCAGAACTAGAAAATGGCATATGTACCACCATGCCTAACCTATTTAGTAGGTGAACAATTTTATTCAGTTTTATCAGTTTTTAATTAAAGGTGTAGTTGCAAAACATGTAAATCTGTCTTGCTCTCCTACCCTGAAAACGTTTTTTTATTTTTTTTTTCCCCTGTGGATCACAAAAGGAGAAACAGGTTTTGAACAAAATGAGGCTGAGTAGTTGAATACGTTTTAATTTGGGGGTAAACAAACACTTTTAAACTTACCTTGGATTGTTGCGAAGAGAACTCGGTTGGAATTGAACGGGGGGGGGGGGG